ATATATATTATATATACATTTATATATACATGTATATATATATATATATATATATATATATATATATATATATATATATTTCAAGTGCCTTTATAGATATATATGAATATGTATATATACGATATAAATATGTGTATAGATATAGATATGTATATATATATATATATATATATATATATATATATATTTATATACATATAAACGCATTCATATATGAATACAACTAACTACACAGATATAGATGTAGATGTTTTTTTTTTTTTATAGATATAGATGGAGAGGTTTTAGATATTTATACTCAAATAGAAAAGCCTTCAAAACCGTCTCACCACTTTCTTCAAGGTGAATAATGGTCCAATTTCCGTGCTTTAGGTCCTGAAGCTTGTGTTTGTCGGGCGGATAAGACCTGTATTTACTGGAATTTGCCTGAACCCACACTCCAGAAAATTCTTTATTCACTGCTATGTCCAGCCCTCGGAGGCGATGGACCCGGCATTCTGTTATAAAAAAGGAAAGAAGAGTATAAATAGATAAACATATTTATATGTTCTTACCTAGATAATGTTGCCCGACTGCTGCCTTGTATATATATATATATCAGTCTGAAGAATGTAGTAACACAACAATCGCCCAAAAGATCAAAATCTTAGTAGTTTGGTTATATGTATATATATACATACATACACACACACACACACACACACACACACACACACACACACACACACACACATATATATATATATATATATATATATATACATGAACATGTGTGTGTGTGGAATTCATGTCGAACAAATTGCAAGTAGAACAATGAAAGGAAGTACAGGAAAACACACGAATATGCCGAAGGCATTTACCACAGAAGAGAGAAATGGACAGCTACCTTTCTTCGACACCGTAATCCATACGAGACCTGACGGACCGGTATTCTGTGTACCCACAAATAAAGATGATTTCATGAATTATCACAGCAATAAAACCAAAGAAGGCGTGGTTGTTGGCTTCTTCCCAGAGCACTTAGAATCTGCAGCCCGGAGTTCCCGGAGGAGGAAATGCAACACGTCAGTAACACCTCCCAACACCTCCGTTACCCTCGCGCCCTCCTCGCCCACCTCCAACGCAAGGCAGAGAAGATCTTCACCAGATCAAAAGGGAATGCCACACACAATAAGACTTATCATCCCACACTCGCAGCTGACGCAACACCTGGAGGCCTTGTTGGGCCACAGATGAAGATAGCCACTGCGTCTGGTAAGAAGATCGGAGATATCGTAAGGGAAAAGGGGTCAGACCACAACAGACCTCTTAGCCAGGTGTACAGCTTACCTTGCGGCGGCTAAGATAAAGTTTGCAGAGGTGACACAGGACGAGGCCGCCCTCCGACATGACAACAGGAGCGCCTTCGTTGTTTACGTCAACACCGAAGGCCATCTCCCTAAGTGGTCCCAGTCCTCCATGAAACAAGGCCTGCCCCCACGACAAAGAAATAAGCTAGAAGCGGCATACATACACTCTACTAACAACTTCAACACCGCAACGGGGAGTCACGAACTAGCTAAACAAGTCGCTCACCTGATCACCGCCAAGTACATGTGTATATATACTTTTATGTATCTCTTGTTCTGAGACTCCGGGCTAGTACAGTGGTAACGTGTCGGCCTCTCATCCGAGGGGTCGGTGGTCGGTTCGCGCCCCGCCCAGGCGCGAGAAGTTGCAATCGTCGCCTGGAGGTTACTGCTGTGGCTGGGCACCACGGTGGGTAAGGACTAAGCACATCCGAGTCAGCACTAGCTTGACACTGTAAGCTAGTCGACATTAGTCGGCATAGGCCGGGCGAGGCTCTGCTTCGCATATCAGACTTATCTTGTTCTGTATGCCCCGATGAAGCAATGAATGCGAAAAGGCCTTCGGCATATTAGTGTGTTTTCCTGTACTTCCCTTCACTGTTCTACTTGCACATGTGTTTGTGTATAAATGTGTATATATATGTATGCATATCTTTATGTATATATTTATATACATACTACTACTGTTTCTGCAGTGCTGGTCTTATGACGTTGGTGATCATGGCACGGCATCCCTCTCGACCTGTCATTCTTACAGTCCCTGCTACACTTCTCCTTCCGCCCATAAACTCTAACAAACTGTCCATTCACTTCTTTCTGTCTGGCTCATGCTCTCTTGCCATCCTTCTTCCCCATCATGCAGTCATATTCTGTATCCTTTGCTCGTACCACATACCCCCCGAATTTCATTTGTATCTTGTCTATTTCGTTCGTGAGCAGGGCTTGCTCTTTTTACACCAGCTCTTCTTAAACCTTCATTCGTGGCTCTTGCGGTCCAGGGGATTCTTCCGAGACACAGTTCGAGTTTGAGTTTCTTCAGCTTCCCAGCCATACAGCTGGGTGATCCTATTGTTTAATCCCATGCTCATATTTGTGGTCAGCTTATTAAAAAAAAAGAAAAAAAAAACAATATATTTCTACCCTCAGATGTT